CTAGTTTAACTACAGTTTTAACACGTTTCTATAGTTATAGTATCATTACAGGACTAGTTTAACTACAGTTTTAACACGTTACTATAGTTATAGTATCATTACAGGACTAGTTTAACTGCAGTTTTAACACGTTACTAAAGTTATCGTATCATTACAGGACTAGTTTAAATACAAAGTTACAACCCTCTTCACGTGACCGTCCTGTGTTGTGTTTCAAATAGGTCGCAGGGTTAAACTTACTTCACAATAACGTCTCTAAATATAGTATTTTAACTCTAAACTTTCTCCATAAGAGAGTTATAAACTACAAGACATGATATTAACGTTTTATGTTTACCCCAAGGAAGCTTAAGTGTCAAATGTTTAATCAGAGTAACAATAAAAGTATCATTACTTAGGTGTGGAATGTTTAAACAGAACCTATTGGATGTAAAAGTATTTTCTCTTTATGTGGTTCCCTTTCTTGTCTACAAAAGGTGTAATTTGTTTTGTTGAACTATTTTGCTTCATTTCTCGCCCACCCTAAGGAATGGGCTGGTCGGTTCAGCGATCTGTACCTTCAGTTTGAGTTCAATCGATGAAGCTTTGAACGGGAAGTTTAAAGAACAGACCTCTTCCTTATCAGCTTGGCTACCAGTATTAACGAGCAAGGTTCCCGAACCACGACCCGGTTCTTGTGTAAACGACACTCAGACTCTTCCCGACGCTGTGTTGAATTTTATAAGAAGCCACCCTCTAGCGGATTCGGCGGTAACCCATGATAACAGAAAGCCTTTATTCTACACGAAGGATGTTATCTTCAGACGTATAGTGGTCCAAAAGCTGGAGGTCGATGGCGTTCAATACACCATTTTTTATGCTGGAACTAGTAAGTTTCAATCACGAGATGGCGTTAATGTAGTAGAAAGTAGATGGCAAATTAAACTTTTACCCCAAAGGTTTCCATAGCAACAAATTGTAAAAATACTTTCATGTTTTTCTCTAAATAATATTATGCTATACTCCCCCCCCCCATAAATATATTTATATATTTATTTATTTATTACCATTTGCAAGTTGTTGTGTCTTGGCTGTTATGGAAGAAAGAGCTTAGGGAATCCACGATATAATAGTTGGGTTCTTTAGTTGTTGTTTTTACTTTCAATGACATTTCAACTTGATTTATTTTTCAAAAATCAATATATTTTTTCTTTTAAGGACATTGGATTATTTGTTATTCCATTATCTTGTTTTTATCCAACACAAAAACGTCACTTGAACTTGAAAGTTCATTTATGTGATTTCGGAAATGTTTTGTATTTAATTTCAGAAACAGGATTCGTTTATAAGCTGGTAGAATGGTATGATGGGACAGGACAGGCTTATTCAAATCTTGTAGATGTATATGACGTCACAGCTCCAGAACCAATACAAGCGATGGAAATCTCGAGCAAGGTGAAAATGAGGCTCTTAAGTAATGATGCAGTGTTTTAAGAAATGTGAAAATTATTGATAGAAACACTGGTTTGTGTGATTAACAAGGAATCTGTTATATAAAAAAATTATATTAGCAGAAATTTATACTGATTTTTTACTGTTGTTGATCAGCTATTATAGTATTTATTTTATAATTATCAAGTTACTGTTCTGTCGTTTTTCTCTGTGTAATCACTTGTCGGGTTTAGATAAACTTAAAACTATTGTAGTGATACTCTCAATAGTAATAGTAAATAACAACTGTGTCGTCAGGAAGTTTTTGTTAAAAAAAAGCGTTATTGTTTTCCAGATTTCTTTCGAATAAGTTCAAGGTGACGTACCGCTATATTAAAAAAAAAGATTGGTGTGTAAAAATACTAGCTGTAAAAAAATTGTTACCGTAAGTTCACAATTGGAAAACAAACTCCACGACTTAGAATAATGTTTTATACATATCGTTCACTAGATGGCGTCTACTAACGAGCCTGGAGGTTCAAGGTTGATATTAGAAATGCCTTTGACTTGTAGCTCTTCACATTGAGGACGTATAATACACACTATGTGACAAACGAGTGACTGGGATATGGTCAAGACTTAGCAGCGTTAATCAGCTATTACCGTATAACATTTTAGAATAAGGCGTTCTTGAGTAAAAAATCAGTTTCCTAATATTACACCCGTAAAACTTTCTTTGAAACGTTCTAAAACGTTCTTTTTTGTTCGAGATGATAGAGATCTGTATGGCATTGTGTAATTTTTTAGGAGTATTAACTTAAAAAGGATGGAAGGTATAAATATCAGTCTTGTACGTGTTTTGTCTTGGGAAAAAATTCTCTGTCATTAACGTCTATTCTTTACTCCTCATCAAAGGGAATAAAAGAACAAGAAAACAGATTTCTCGAGAAAATTCGTATCGCGGTTGTTCTGGCACATTTAATATTTCACTAAAATTTCTTGCTGCTATTTAATTGTTTTTTATTTATTTGTTCCTCATTTTTTTAAGGATTGTAATTACATAATGATAATTTACTTTTTTTTTTCTAGCTCTAACGACAGAAAATGTTTCTCTCAGAAACTTAACGTTTAATTCTCAGAAATATAGGACGATACTAACCTCTTCGTGTACGCTTCACTGTCTTAACAACACAAGAAAAACGGCAACAGCTGTCGTTAGACTTGAGGAAGTACGGGCCTCCAAGGATCAGGTTAAACTTTCGCATGAAAAGATGCTAAAAAATAATAAATGGAAGATGTATTTCCACGTATTCGGTCAACTGACCTTGACACTCTACGTGCTGAAGAAACTATTCAGAGACATTTTTCTGTCTTCTCCGTTTCAAACCAACAACTGAGTGGTATATTAGAAACAGATACAGCTGTGTGCAAGGTCTGAGTGCTTGTCGGGCTTGCCTTGCTTGAGATAAGGAAAATTAAGCTTATAAGTTTGATATCCCCCCCACAAACAGTCACAGCCTCTTCGTAATTCGTCTATTACGGACTTTATATTAAAAATGTGTAAAAAGTAAAACTAGAATTTGATCAGGAGACTTAAGCCTATCGGTTTCCAAGATTTCGATAAATTTCGGCATTTAACATTTTAAAAGTTCAAGATTGATTTGCATATGTAATGTTGATTTGTTGAAGATGTGAAAAATACTATAAATGTTTTGTGCACAGAGGTGTAGGGGGCTCACGGTTTATTTGACGGAGCTAAGCCCTGGAAGGTTTGGGGTTCCGGTTAAATTTTATGCATTCTCCTGCTTTTCCCGAGAGTAATTTTGATACATTTTTATTGGAAGAGATTGAAAAGTGGGAGAAACCCCCACCCCCTTCTAGCGTGGTTTGTAATATGTTTCTTAGGAACATATTGCTTTAAAACGTCCTTGAAAAATACTGTGAAGGTAAGCGGAGATCATTTCAGTGGGGTAGTTTCAGGCAGAGACTATGGGGCTTCCTGGACACCCGGGTTTGTGAATTTTGGGTATCATCTAGAAAGAGGCAGTATCAACAGCTACAAGGTGTTACCATGGGAACGGAAATGGGTCCATCCTATGCCAACCTTTTTGTTCGTTATGTAGAAGAACAACTTTTCAGTACCCACAAACTTTCTACCATTTTATCAGGTACACGATAATCGGTAGAAAGTCGTCTTTATGTCCAGTGAAAAGACCCAATCAGTTACATCAACGATATTCTGGGTCTTTTCACTGGCTGGGTCTTTTCACTGG